CCCCCCCCGCCAGCACGTGCAGAAAGCCCCGCTTTGCCAGGAAGCCTTGAGCAGTGTTCCCTCTAAGCTGAGTTAGTGTGAGCCAGCTCACAGTTTTTTAGCCTCCGGCTCACACATTTCTGTCTTATCTCAGGAAGGAGGGCTCCAGAGCAAACTAGTTCATGCAGTAGCCGAATCGCTCGCTCACAACTTTAACGCCAGTAGCTCACCAAGTAGAATTTTTGCTCACAGGACTCCACAGCTTAGAGGGAACATTGCTTGACCGTAGTGGATCTAATGGGATCTGGTCCAGCTGGCATTCTCTCCGCCCGCGCCCCTGCCCCTTGGATCCCTTCCCGTCTCTGCGCTCTCTTGCGTGGTGCTGTCCGCGTCCCGCTTGATGCTCACGGCTCACAACGACCCTGCGCCTGCGAGGCAGGTGCAACAAAGAGAGAGAGGCCCCCAGAGTAAGCTTCCTGGCAGAGCGGTGTCGTGGTTAAGAGTGCTGGGCTACTGTCTGGGAGGCCCAGGTTCGAATTCCGCCTCTGGCTATGAAAGCTTGCAGGGTGACCTTGGGCCAGTCACGCGCTCTCAGCCTCACAGGGTTGTTGCGAGGGTGGAGGAGAGGATGCAGGCTGCTTCGGCTCCCCATGAGGGAGAGAGACAGGATATAAATAGATTCGATAAAGACATGAAACAGTGGTAAAGGGATTCAAACCCAGCTCTCCAAAGACAGCATATGTGCCACCACCTCTCTCCATAAGAATGCCCTTATGAATCCATGCAACAGCTCTGTCAGGGAGGCCACTGTGATGGGTGGCCAGCTGAACCTCCAGCAATTACAAATTTGACAGCTCGGTCTTGCAATGGTCATTCTACAGCAGCTCCCTCGGACTCAGCTGGGATAATTTCACACGCCCCCCCTCTAACTGGTCAATGGGGCACAGATGTAGCCATCTTCTCTGTTTCTGCAGAGGTTGCCCCCTTCCTAGGTGGGGCTCCCAAGAAATGCCTGGTGGTGTGGGGTGTCCTCTTATTCAGAGAGAACCTTCTATCTCCTTGTGGCTGCTAGCTCATCCCTGTCCCTTTGGTGGGAACGAGTGGGACATAAATATCTTAACTAAAATATTTCAAATAAAATAAAGGGGAATAGTCATGATCAGCGTCAGAAAGGTACCTGTCCGATGGGAATCACTTTGAAGTTTAGCAGCTATAACCTGCTTGGAGTGAACACCTTCCTCAGATCAATAACATTATCCCTTAAGCTACCCCTTTCTCTATTTAAGCTGCTCTAGTAGCGGGAACGGGATTTTTATGAACGGGATCACAGGCATGAGAAGGGAAACATCCACCCAGACGCTTGGCAGGCAGAGGTGGGGAGGGGGATCAGGGTGGTGGTGACTGGAGTATTACCGCAGGGAGGGGGAGGTATTTTTTAAACTAGAAACATTCCGGTTCTAAAACCTTTCTTTAAACAACAGGCATCACATCAACACTTTAAAAAAACTGCTTTGGGGAAAATGAAATCTTGGGCGAGGCATGTCAGTGTGCCAGGTGGGTCCGTGGTGCATCCATCAGCCCCATCCTGGCTAGGGCCATGCATTGGCATCATAATAGCAGTCTTTTGCTTCCCCACCACCACCAGCAGCGGAGGCTCAAAACAGCACTTTGGGAGGTCTCCAGGAAAAAGAAGAAGAGGAGGCGATTGGATTTATACCTCGCCTTTCACTCAGAGTCTCAGAGCGGCTTACAAACTCCTTTCCCTTCCCCTCCCCACAACAGACACCCTGTGAGGTAGGTGGGGCTGAGAGAGCTCTGAGAGAACTGCTCTTGAGAGAACAGCTGTGCCAGAGATATGGCTTGCCCAAGGTCACCCAGCAGGTGCAAGTGGAGGAGTGGGGAATCAAACCCGGTTCTCCCAGATTAGAGTCCGTGCACTTAACCACTACACTAAAAGGGCATCTGGAGAACCTGTCTGGCTTTTGCACTCTGACCTGAAGCCTAAACAGTAGCATTTGGGTGGATTCTCTGAGTGCCCACCACCTGCCTCCGGATGCAATGGCCAGGCAGTAAAAGGAAGGGCTTTCAGGACTGGGAATAAGGCCAGATGTAAGATCAACAGGGCTTCTTTGAGTCCGGTCCTCCCTTCCTCCTGTGGGTGACAGCTGAGCCCTGATGAGCATATGCAGAGTGCTTTTCTCCCACCACAAGTACCCAAAGTCTGTCCCACTCCTGTACCTGGGGGTATAGGAGCAGGCCTTCCTGTAAGTACGCCGACCTCCTGTCCCTCAGGAGGGGTCATTTCAACCAGCAATGGACCCCATCGGAGTACCCCAGGAGTCCATGTACCAGGCAACTTGACATAAGTGGACACAAAGATGGATGCCAGGACTGGCAGGCCTCATAATCATGCCTAGGAAGTGACCCTGGAAAGCATATGAGACCTTGTTCTGACAGCTGCAACCCCCCTCCACCCTGCCAACATCTGCATACTCTGGACAATGGACT